CTCGACAAAGTTTCCAGAAAATCCCATACGCCAGGTGAGGACCGGCTTTTATCGATGAGTATTTTTTGGAGAGCGCGCTACATAATCTCATCACACGACTTAATGCGGTAGGCTGAGAGTTGCCCGCTACGAATAGAGATTCAGTTGAACTGAAAAGTCACCCATGCTGGGCTACGTCTATGGATGTCGTTCGTCAGAAGCCAGCGGGATGCAATGCGGTTTCTGATACCAACTTTCGAAATTCAAAAGTTGGGCTGCGCTACTTCACAGCGCTATTTCAGCACAGCTTTTATGTACTTTTTCTTCTTCAGGGAGGTGAAGTGCTTGTTGAAAAATCGCGTCTTAGGAACAAAACCGGCGAGTTGGTTGTCCCGTTTTAGTGTCGCCGCGGTCGCAGCGTCAAAGAAAGCTACTTTCGCCGGAAGTGACCAGAGTCACCCATGACCAGTGTTGTACCACGAAATTCCAAGTTGAGCTCATACAGCGCCTACGTGCATGCTTTTGGGGGAAGGAGTGTGTTGATACCGACTAAAAGTTGTATTTTGTGAACAATCGTGGAGCCCCATTGGGATGTTAATGGACAACCATGAAGGCAGTTCGACCATATAGCGATAAACTTTTCTTGATTCTTGATCTCTTAATACCACACGCGCTGATGCTCTTCCTTGGTATTAAGATTTACGGTGATTTTTCCGGGGGTAACCAAAGGGGAAAACCCCTCTCTTTTATCCCATGGTTTTGACCAACTGGTCACACCTTCTCATCAAATTTATTTACGCGATGGTTTAGGGGCCACAGTCGCAGCAATCGTCAACCATTGCCGGAACTAGGTGAACTGTACCATTCAATCTGCCGAAAACCTGACCAGTGGTTTCTTTGGAGGGTTGCGAATTAAGCACATGCTGCGGCTGCCGTGGCTAATTGTTGTCCTTTGGTCGGCTTTGTTCTATGGTGCATCCGAAGTCGTGTAGCCTAAGGCGGGCCTTGGCGGGGACAACATGGGGTTGTTACAACTGCATGTAAAGAGAGATCACATAGGACCCTGCACAAAGTCAGGCTGGACTCCTACTAGTAAGGAGAGAAGAGCGGAGCAAATGTGCTCGGTTCTGGTTGGCTCATGTTCTGACCAATCAAAACATGAGTTCGTGACATCCGTTTGACCGACGTTGGGTTCGGCTGTTTCGGGCGACGCAACCTCGGATACAATAGAATTCGTGATCGTCGATGTGGTTTCTCCACACGAGACGTTGCACCCCTTCAGACTCCTAGAATGGTTGAACCAGAAGGAACGTTAGATAGCAGTTCAGACTCAGCAAGTACTGATCATGAAGAGAGATATTTCTGACAACGGTCTGCCTCCGTACCCATATCCCCCACTCCAACCGTTTACCTCGGCATGTGATCTGTGCCTGTGGACCCTCCCTCATTTTATGAAATATCAACATGTTTCCGCTTGGAAATGTTATCGGACCACGCGCGTTACTAGAAAGGAAAACGGCACAGATCCATGCATTCTGCTCTGACCAGACCTTTTAGACTCAATTGAGAATAGCATACGTTCCAGGAACCTGGGGCCGATCAGCCGTTTTACCTTTGTTCAAAACAGATACTCAAAGGGAGTTCTCCAATCACAGGAATATGAGCCTTTCTCACGTTTTGTTACAGTTGCCAGCCTCAATAATACTGCGAATGATGAAATCACCATAGAGTGAAATTCTGAGAGACAGACTTTGGACCAGACAGGAGATGCATTGACCATCGAGTGCTTGCGCAGTATTGGGCGGGGACTCTTACGCGACCTTGCGAAACATTCTGTGGTGACCCCATAAATACGGTCGTAGTCTTCTTCCTTTATCTCCACAAGGGGCTGTCTGAAGCTACCATACTTTTTGATACATCGTAGTGGACTGAAAAGAATTTAAGAACCGATGCAGTTTCACGGCCGCTCTTCAAGTCACAACAGAAGTGGATTTTGATTCTGGCATTGTTCTGTTGTCTGGCGTACAAGCTTCTCTAAGAGAATATCGGAGGTGATTGGTTGTTTCGACATGCAGTTTGTAATCAGGTCATGGCTCGCTTACACGTATGGCCTTGTTCAAACACCTGACAGCGTATAAAGTAACTTTTACCAGGCCAAAACTAGCCTTTCTCGGTGGCTATCACGAGGTCACGAAGCATAAGGAACGCTAAGAGTTTCCTTACAGCTGGACTCAAGCTGATTCCCCTGTGATTGCCGCATTCGCTGCGAACTCTTTGAAAACAAGTATTGTCATCTATTCTCTCGATTCTGGTTGCGCACCTCTGGTGGTCCGGAAACCGCTGCTGCTGGCTCTGTCGAGGTTGGTATCGTGCTAAGTCACCGAGCCGAGGGATCTCCGGTTCAATGGCTCCCATTGATAGTCGCTTCTTTGCTGTTCGTTTGACAGCGTTCGTTAGGGTTTCCCATAAACGCACCGATAATCCCTACATGTTCATCGAATTTGCTCACGCCCCAACAGACTGTATCTCTGATATATTCAAAAACAACTTTTACGATGCTTTGAATGCCTTATTATGGAGGGATAAGGGCTCAGATACTGTGACTGCCGGGGATATGGATGCGACAGTAGGTGAACTTGATGCTGTAGAGGCTTAATTGAATGGTCGTTTAGGATTGGAATCGAAAATCACGGACAACGGCGAACGCCTACTGCAGTTATGAGCTGACCATAGACTGTTTCTGCGCAGTAGTAACTTCCGAACCACTCGAATGCGCTTGACCACATAGTGTCAATTCCCGCATGCTAGTTAACCTCCAGCACAGATAGTCCACTTCACCGCAGGCAGCGTGGATGAGTGACTGTCGCTTGTTTTGGAATAATTATGTGGATTTAGATCCGCACTCGTTCGTTGCTTCCCGTTGTGTTTTTCACACATCTTGCTTAACCGTTAAGGGGCTTTCAGACCCTGATGTAATTAAAAATTTACTTTTTTACTTAGGGGATGGGTGGAATACCTCAGTGGTTAGAACGCGAATTTACTTATCGGGAGGTCCGTGGTTCGAACCCGACCTCTGCCTGTCGACTTCCCCTGTCTAGGCTTGAGCGGCCTGGCAGTATCCTGGCCCTCGTGCTTCCTTCCGGTGGCATGGCAGTAAATTTGCGCTGTAACCACCGAACCATCTCGTTCTCGGGTGTGAAGCAAGTCCACCAATACCACCTACCGAAGTTCTTTTCGGACAAGAATTCTTTTGATGTTGGCCCTTATTGGAAGTCACTGCCTGCAACGCTACAAGCGCTCCGTTTGTGGAGGGGCGCTGCCATCTAGATCTAGGCATTGGATCTCGGGAAACATTCTAAAATTGCTCGGTGCTTGGTCACGTATTCCTCCTAGCTTAGTTTGCAATACCATTCAACCAACTGTCAGACTTCAGAAGCGCATCTGCGCGGATCGAGAAGCTTGGTGGGTCCATTATCATCGTAATGATTAGCTGTAAGGACCACGTACCCGCCATACAGTGGTTCTAGCTACCACAGCTTCGTTCATCGATTATTTGGGGAGATGGGGTAGCTAACTGCGCAGTGGGGGCAGTAGTGTATATGGTGTGTAAATACAGGATTGTCAGTGGACCTTTAATTGGGGGGATTGAGAGGGGAGCTATGCACTAGACGCAATGGGCCACTGGACGCACGAGCGCCAGCGACAAAGCAACTCGAACGAGGTGGAGGTGAGGAGTTGGAACACCGATATTTGTATTGTATAACCACGGAAACTCGCATATTTGGACCGTTTCAGGGATGAAGGTTTTCCGGCGTTAAAAAAGTAAATCATTCAGCTGTAGCACCATTTCGGTGCCTAGCTGCCATGCTTCCTTCGGGTGTCATGGCAGCTAGGCACTGGAGGATTTTTACAGCTGGGCGATTATACTATTATTGCTATTGTTATGCCAACGAAAGGAGGTACGAGGGATGGGGTACTCCCAGGTTACCCAAGCCTAGACAGGAGCAGTCGAGATGCTGAGGTTGGGCCAGAGTCACGGACCTCCCGGTTCATAAGCTGGCGCCTTGACCACTGAGCTATCTTGAGCCAGCTTTAGAAAGGTTGAGTATACACCGGAACACCCTGCCTTTGAGGTTACGCATTAAGCTCCAAGCAACAATTGTAGGACCTTTTGGGAAGCATTCTCATAAAAAAACTGTTGCATGCCGCCCCAGTTAAAAGACTAATGACACTAAAGCAATCGTGTATGTGAAGGACAGTGGAAATGAAGTGGCACAAGTAATAGACTGATCATAGGAATCGATATTGACCGAGGAATCATACGAATATGTTGAAGAGTGGCTGGCTAACAAGCGACCTAGGATCTGTGACAAGTCACCTCTGCACTTCGAAATTAGGGTGACACAATGCACAGTGCAAAAAATTCCGCCTCAACCAGTCTCATCTATGTACGGATTGAAAGTTTATCAGTCACGGCTATGAACTGACTGAGCCTCTCTTTTGAATATCAGTTTTCAATTATTTCTTGACCGTAATTTTTTCATGTTCACTTCCTCCAAATCCGCTTGTATTCAGAACTCCCATAGATTTATTTTTCGAGTTCATACTACTTCAACTTTCTGAGATTCAAGCTAGTACCTGCATGATGGTGGTAATATCTGGAACCTCGATTGTGTTTTATTGTTCTGTTCAAACGTTCGATTTTTCTATGCTAGCCTAACTGTTGTTTTATTCTGGGTTTCTCTTTTATCGTAGTTCATGGCTGTCATTTTACAAGGGGCATCCGTCACTTCACTATTCTGTAACGCGCTCGGCAATCGTAGGAACATTTGAAGCATCCTAGCCGTCATACCGTAAGGAACAATACGTACACAGAACGTACTTACCTTTGTCTAATCTGGCCGTTGTCGCACAATGCTGACTCAGTTATGACTCAATAATGAATTGTAGATCAACATCTCCTTCAGTGTCCATGGTCGTTTGCTCAGTCTTTGAGCTCCGGTTTTTTGCTATCGTGTAATATGTATCATTGTCCACTGACGATAACCTGTATTTTCATTACAGCCCACGTGGAAATCAGTAATTACTGCTGCTCTTTACGTAGCTCATTCATCTTGTTCTGTTGTTACGTTCAAATGGAAGGAGACAAGTTTGAAATCGTATTTGTAAATGATCATGCGACGCCGCTGCTATCCGCTGCTTTTGATGCTGTCTCTTCTTACGAGAACCTCACAACAAAGCGCCTGGACGAAGTGGAAATAATGAACCGTTATCCAAAGCAGCTTCCAAAACGCACCTCATTTGTGTTTTGCCGATTCGAAGGTGAATGTTTCGAACATCTGCGGTCGATGGGAGCAGCAATCTATGGACCACAGATAATCCTGCACTATGTTCGTGAAAACAAACCGTTACCAAAAGTATCATACCCACTCTTCTCAACAGCGCTTATGGGTGCGATCGCCACGGTCACTTCGGTAACTGGGTCTGAACGAGAATATTTACTTAGTTCGATTCAAATGCTGCATGGACAGGCATCACGTGACCTCTTCGATGGCGTGAACGTGGTCATAACTCCAAAAGTAGGATCCAAGAAATACTTGGTTGGCGCTAGTCGTGGCTTGCATATTCTGCTTCCTTCGTGGATCAGCGAAGCTTGGAGGCTATCTTCTATTCAAGATCCAATCGACATGATGCTTCCTGCATACACGGAACGCTATCGCGTCCCCGTTTTCTCTCAGCTCGTAATTTGTGTATCTGGGTTATCAGCAGAAGAACGAAAAGAGGTATCCGACTTGGTTTTAAAGCATGGTGGTCGTTACTCTGGCGTTATGAAAGTCGGTGAAACAACACATCTGATTATCAAACAACCAGTTGGGTTGAAATATTCGCACGCAAAAAAATGGAAAATTCAGACAGTAAGCTTGCGGTGGCTCGTGGATTCTGTTAACAAGGGTTACGCATTGGATGAAGAGGACTATCGTGTATCTGAATCGTGTGAAACCTCATCCACACCTGTTGGTGATGCTAACAAACGCTCATTCTCGTTCGACAACATATCTGTGATCAGTCATGTGAATAACGCGTCTACTCGAATTGATGAGACCCGCAGTGACTGTCAACATGCGGAAAGCTTCATACGACCGAAACTTGTCCCACGTGTGCCTTTGATACTTAGCAACTGTGTGTTCACCTTGTTCGGCTGCACTAGGGAAGAAAGTGCTTCATTTTCAAAACTTGTTGGGGAATTGGGTGGCCACCTCTGCACAGAGCTTCCAGATCAAGTATCAGAAGCCGTAACCCATGTCCTTGTTGGAAGTGCTACAAACGCAACTGCATTACTGCAAACAAGAGAAAAAGATATGCTTTATGTCAAAGGTTCTTGGTTGGTGGCCTGCAAAGAGTCTGGACAACGTCTATCAGAGACAAATTATCTTGTCCCTCTGACGGAAGATGCTGAAGATAGAACAACTGTAGTCTCTGCAGACGAAGAGCCAAAACGGATTGTTGACACGGAAGACTTGCAGCTGATCAATCAATACTTCGGATCTGGTGGGCTTGCAGATATGGATGACTTTACAAGTGGCTCTCAAAATTTAAAACCGACCGTTTCGAATGATAAAACTCTTCCTGACGCAACCAATATAGATATCACTGTTGCCAACGGCTCCACCACTGTCAGTGGTGATGGCTTTTTTTCTGGCCTATCCTTTTTACTACATGATGAACTGTCTGCCAAAATACGAGAAGAGCTTAAAAAATCAATATTCTCTTCTGGTGGACGTGTTGTGGACTCACCACATAATGTCGATTTTCTGGTGGCACCATTTTTTGTGAGTTCATTTCCGAAGCTCCCGAAAAGCTGCGTGCTCGTGACCGCACCTTGGATTGAACATTGTATAGCTGAATCAGGTTTACAAGTGGATGAGCTACTAAAAGAACCGGCGTTTGTGCCCATAGAACGTACAGGAGCACCTCCGTTGAAGGACTGTGTCATTTCAATGAGTGGTTTTGTCGGGAGAGACCGTTCGTTGCTCACAGCATATGCCCAATGCCTTGGAGCTCTTGTACAAGATTGCTTTCTTCGCAAACCAGTACCTTCACGGAACCTGGCGGCCAGTACCCATTTGGTCTCTGCCAAACCGGACGGACGAAAATGGCCTGCTGCCCAGTCGTGGGGTATACCAACTGTGAGTCGTTCTTGGTTATATGCTTGCGCAGAACGGTGGATGAAGGTCAAAGAGCTTGATTTCCCCGTCCAGAACCCGAGTGGGGACATTCCGACTCAAGTTTCAACTTCCAACCCAACCAACGGTCAATCAGGTAACTTGCTGCAAACAGAAAGAGTCCTGAAAGAAATCCAAGCAAACACAAAACAAATGCAACCTAGTGAGCCACATGACAAACCACACGTATCTACCCCAGTTCCAGGCCACAAAGTTTCTGGATCTGACTCATTACTCGGTACACTCCGCACTCCTGACTGGGTTTGTAACAGTCTACAGACAGACATAGGTAATAGCTCTAAAGATTCTCTTGACAACTTCCCGCGACCTTCTCCACCACTATCAGAACAAGTGGCAAAGTGTCTGAAGAATGCCGTTGCGAGAACTGCAGCACTTCCGAAACGCAAGCTCGACCTCTCTTGTAAGTGTTACAATAACTGCTTTTACTGTCGTTCACAAGGATTGTCTCTCTGTTCGGGCCGTTTCCTGAGTTGCCATTCTAACCTAAAAAGATCCAAAACTGGCCACAAACTGTTTTATTTGCCGAGCAATCGATTATCATAACCCATGCACATGCCGATCAGGTTTCCCTGCGTCTCAGCGGAATTTTTAGATGCATTATAACGATATCTCCTTTTGGTATTTGTTGTTGTTGTTCCTACTTTTAATTTTATTCGATTAAGACGAAATGCCCATCAAACCACTTACTCGTTGACTTATTTATCGGAATACCGTGCAGAATGTTATTGTCCACCTTAAAAAGGGAAATTGATAACCTCAGATAACATGTAGCTTATTTTTTCTTAAGAATTACTCTGTTAGTTATGCCTGCGTTGGTTCCGTTGGATATTCCCACCAAAGTGGGCTAGTTACCACGTTTTTGCACCTGACATAACTAAAATTTTCTACCAAAAATGGGTCGAAAGAGTCGTGGTTCGATACGTGCGGTTCTTGTGGGCTTTCTGGCGAATGTGCAGGTTCTTCAGCTATTGTATCAGATATACTAATTGGCACTCGATAAATAAAACGGCATACAGCATTCAGGTGATTCTGACAGATTGTATGTTTTCAACCTAGAAGGGATTTCGGTATTTTACGAGGTGGTTTCAAGGGCATCAAAATTAGATTTGTTACAGGAGTAACGTCGATTTCAATTTCGACCGGGGATCGGGACCAACTGCAAATACGTCGCCCATGTCCCCTCGTCAGCTGTTATAACCCGTTGATGTAGTTTATTCCTGTGATTTCCCGATGTATCCATTCATTCTTGCCAGTAAGGTTATCACGTTTCTGCGACTCATCTAAGCCGAATGTGCACAACAAGATATGGGAAATTGCCAGGAACATTTTCAAATCATCCGACGTTGTCATAACTTGATTCGGCTAAGCGCGGAGGCAGGTTTGAAAGAAATCCCAGAATCGTGGGTGGCCCTGATGTGCATTTTGTGAACACCTCGCGGTCAGAACAATCCCTACATTTGGATCGGAACCTGGATTTCAGCCACAGGTGCAGGGATAAGCCTCGGAAGCAACAGATATTCACTATGCGGTTGTCCCTTAGACCCAGCTTCCTCTCCTCTGCTTTCATTAAAAATTATCTGACTTTACGGTTTAATTCATTAATTTGTTTGAAGTAAATGCACTGAACGTAGCATTTCCAGGCGGTTGTGTACAACGGCTACTTTCCTTGCAAATGCCCGAAGGATTATCACGGGGAAGGAACAAATATCTGATCTCAGAAGCCAGTTGAAATTGTTTTGTAAAGAAGGAAAAGATCGAATTTTGCAGATGCCTGAATAGTGTGGCCATCTGATTGGTGTCATGGAAACTTTATTTGCACTGAATTAAGTGAATCTGCGTGTGCGGGATTTCTATAAATAAGCGGAGGAACTGAGAACAGTTTAAAGGTGGACGCAGACCCTTTCCCCCATTTTCTATGCCTCAAACGCAGTTTTCCCTATTCAGCCTTGTCCTTTCGAATAATGGTTGGTAAAATGAACTTATCACATTTCTATCCGCCATTGAATGTTAAGTGTAAAATAGAGCTTACAATGTAGTTCAGGAGGCCCTTGCGAAATTTTCATCTTGTACTGAACTCACTCGAACACATTCTCTGCACGGTAGTTTTTCGAACATAACATATCCAAGTGAAAACCACTTTTGAACGCTCGAGAAATAAGGATTATAAGAAAACATGGATCTTTGCGTTCATGAGATGACATGCTTGTCAAACCTACAGAAACAGCTTTTGTCTTTAAAATGTGTCTGTTTTATCCGTTTAGTTACACCGAAGGAAGGAGTGGTGTGACCTAATTTGTCTTTATCACTTAAGTTCAGTTGCTACAGAAGAGTTTTGGCCCTCACGGAATGCTAGCTCTGGTTTATATGGATCAGTGAATTTCACTCAGCATTGGATCCGACTTGTACGCAATATCCGACTGCAGCTCGACCGTAGCTTTGATATATGTTTGACAGTCCATTTTACTTCCCTACTTTGATTAATCTTAGCTTTTTTTGCTTTACTGTACAAGCTCCACAGGCCTTTTGCGTTTCGTGTGAATGCTGTAGATCACGAGTAGTCTGTCTAACTTTGTATGACCGCGGTAGCCATTGCCTTCTCAAGCTGTCAACGGATCGCTTAGTTTGCAACTTTTAGCATGCATGGTTTGACAATGGTTACTTATCAAGAAAACTAATCCCCGGTCGATGTTCTCTGAAAGCGCATGAGCATTAATTGGAAACTACTCACAAGGCTGCTGAAAACTCTTCGACAGCCCACGACCAGTTTCGCCCTTCTTGGGGCTAAGCAGGTAGGCGCAGTCCTCGAGTTTCCATCAACACTATGTTCTACTTGAACCCAAATTGGACTGTTTTCGAGCAACCTTGTGAGTAGTTTCCTTTATGAAAATATACTTCGATATCTCGAATGTCGCGCCAACTGAAACATGAGGTGGCCTGTGTACAGCACATTCGGTTGTAGAATTTCTTAAACGAGAGATTCAGTTGAGTCTCTCCTTAAAACCAAGCATCAATTGGCTCTGAGGGAGACATGATGGTTAGAGTTGGTTGGGGTAATACTTTTCAGAGCTGGACATGAAGCTGATTTTTCATCGCTCTTATATCTTTCAATTTGAATCCTGCTTAGAAAAACATTGATGCCCCGTTAAACTCCACCTCTCATAATTACTTTTTGGATTCTGTTCGCCTAAGTTTATTGTTTATTTCCTAAACCTATAACAATCTTTTTGCAGACTGAAAAGGTTGAAAGATGGGTCAGCCATTTGTGTGAGGGTAGGAAATCCTGCCAAATTGACGAAACTATCGGTTTACCATTCTTACTCTAGTCTATGACTAGCCACACTAAGAAGTTACCTTGCACCGAGGAGCATACGTTCTCGTTCTCATCTAGTAATCCAATTCTTATCATTAGCTGTTCGGTCATTTCAGATGAAGAACCTGATGCCGCACCCCTGAGAGGGGTTGTCATTTGTGTGGCAAAGCATTTGAGTTCACGACAAGTTGAACTGAACGGCATTACCAGGCAACTTGGTGGGGACTTTAAATGGATTTATGACCCACTAGTAAGTCCTATTTTTTAATCCACTATCCAGCCCATTCACCCTTAGGGCAGCATTCGTTTTGTTCCATTCACACACCTCTGTTCTCCTTCCGCACTCTGGTGATAATTTTTTTCAAACAGTGAATTGTGTACACCATACTTAGGCTTATGACAGAGTGAAATTTAGTCTGACCTTTTGGGCTTAAGAGTGGAGTAACCAGCCAAATACTAATATTTACAAAGGTCTGTGATTTTACAGCCTCTGGTCCGCGTACTTCCACACAAACCCAGGGTGGAAATGCTGAGTGTTCTTGGCTGGTGAAGAAGTGGGATCACACAACATTCAGAGTACGGGCGGGGCAAACAGAAATTCTGTGCTTAAAGCGCTGGGTTTCACTCCCATGGACTTCTTCACAAACGAATTCGGTAGCCTAAACATTTCTTTGATGAGTGGAAGTCCACCCGTCCGGAGCTCAAATATACTGTTAGTAAATAGAGGACTTTGTGAATTATCAGATTGAATTCGGGTTGGTTCACCAGTGTGTGTACGCCGTGTATCTCGCTGCAGGTGTGTACGCACATCATTGCCGAATATGAGACTGTTGGCCAAGTTCCTCCTTCGGATAATCAATCCAGTGGGCAACAAGACCCTTATCCAGATGTAACGGCTGCTCGAAGTGCCGGAAAATTCATTGTGAACCCCAGGTGGCTAACCTCTTGTGAAGCAAGTTCCTCTCGTCAGCCGGAAAGAGATTTTCCTCCAACCGAAAGCTCACGCCCCGTGCTCGAAACCCCCGATGAGCCTCCACGCAAAGTAATCAGAACTGGTAAGTCATTCATCTTAATTGGTCGTAATTTAATTTATGCGACTAGACCGTTCCGTTCTCTGATCGCCCATTAGCTTGCTTGTTCATAGTATATTATTGTAAAGATAGAATATGGTCGAGCAAACAGTGATTTGCCATCGAAGGTAAACTTTAGGGTCTGTCTGATATTGTCGGAAAGTAAACTTCGAGCAAACCTCTACGTTTTCGTTTGCTAGTTACGTTCGACTGATGACTCTCTTTTGCAGGGATGTCCATGGTACCAACCAAGATCGTTCCATCATGTAGTCAGAGGATTTTTCCCGCAAGGAAATCGCTGTTTTTCTTCACATCACCTTGGGATGTGCAGCCTCCGTGGACCTCGCAGGCTACGCTCTGCCATATGTAGCGTTCTGTTATACCTCCCAAGCCAGTTGTGACCCCTGACATTTCGTGATGATTTTGGCAGCACCGCATGAACTTATTCCTGTTAGCAACCTTCTGTCATTCTGAAGGTCGGAAGTTGAATGCCGAAAATTCTATGGCGTAAAAGGGTTAGCTTAGTCATTCGGACAATAGTTAATGTAACTATTGAGGCCGTAAGTCGGAGCAGTTTGTTCTAGATCAGGATTTCTGTGCCGCAAAGCATTCGCAATGTTTTCTGGAGGACGCAGTTGGCAGCTCAGTACAAACCACCACACTTTAACTTTTCTGTGAAATAAGGATACCAACCTTCATCATGTCTTCAGCTCCAATCGAGGCTAGCGGGGTAAATAAGCACAGCCATTCAATATAGTCTACGAAGCCAGGCGCACGTCATATCATCCCGCTAAAGTACGCTCACTGTGATTGATCGGAACCATTACCGAATGATCGCGTTTCCAATAAGAAGTCCGTAGAAGTTCGTCAAACGAGCGTGAGAATTTCCAACGGAAGTTCTAAGCCTAAGGTTATGGCTTATCTTTGAGATTTCATGCTAATGTAACGTGTTCGCAGCCGAAGTTTCCCCTTTTCAGTGTTCGAGTTTTTCAACTCGTGTGACCATTTGAAAACACAACACTATCATCATCCATTCCGTTCCAGCGTCTTCGAATCTTCTGGGTGACGTCAGTCGTCGTTTGGAGTTGGTCTTGGGAGTGACGTCAAAAGTGGATCAACATGAGGAAGCTCCACTCTCTGGCGTGGGTGGCTCGGAGGTGAGGGGGAAGCGAAGTCCGACATCTGACGATGTCACCCACGGCGAAATTGAAGGTGCCGTGTCCTTTTTAGCAGACACTGCTGGTTCTGGACCACGGAGGCTTAGGCGAAATCCTCGTCGCGCAACACATCTTGCTGTTGTGGAACAGGGCTCTGGAACTAATATCCCCCCAGAGGTGTCTGGTCCTTCTTCCCCGGCAGCACTACCTAATCCTACGGACAAAGCGCAACCCGGTCAATCTTTAATGGTAGGCACCCTTGATATTACTTTCCGGTCGTTTTTGTTACACGTCAGTTCGTATGAAATGACATGCGATCGGCTGTCAATTTCGCTACGCCAACTAGATCCTACTATGATGAGACCGATCGGCGACAGTCAGCGTCAGGATTGGTTTTCTGAAAAAATAACCCGTTCTGATCAATCATCACACGTTCAGTAGCGAGACATCCAAGTAAATTTCACGTGGTTTATGCCAACCTACTTTACAAACTTGTTTATCTCCCTCTCAGAACAGCCGGCGGTTGAGTTTTTCAAAACGAAACGGTGATATTCCCTGTGTGCAGGTGACCTATCATTAGTAATCAGCAAGAATCTCAACACATTGACACGTCAAAGAAATGCTTTTGGCGATTTCCATTTTTTACAATAAGGATACAGTACACTGAGTAAAAAAACCTTGTCTCAAGAAACTCCCAATGAAAAGAATAAAGTTCAGTCATTTCCGCGATTTTTTCGATATATCATCTCTACAGGACGAGTTCTACGTCAGCGAACCCACGACCGCGTGTTTCTGTTGACAGACGGTAGTAAGCCACTGCTTAAATTTGTTAAATTTGTGAACTTGATCTTATTTCACCCACTAGATTATCCGAAATATACTACTTTTCATTCACTTAGAGCAGACCAAAATATATCAAACAATATGACCTTTGCAGTTTAACGTACCACTGCACTGAAAGCTTCTATCTGGGAATGTAACTCATTCACCAAAGAGGTAATCGAGGTGCCTCAAAGCCAATCGGGAGCGGATTAAGTAAGAGTTTACAGAACCAGTTAGTGTTAGCCATTATCAGGAATGATATGTTTCGTTGCATCGTTAAACTCAAAAATAGCAAGGAACAATACCTCGATTAGTACCAATCGTTGTAGAAATTAGCTGGATACCGGATGAGCATCTGCAGATCATTCGAGACCTTTTGAATTATATTAAATCTATGGAAGGCCAACAAGGTGGAATGAGGCCCTAATTAATCATCGCAAATAACCGAAACTAAGCGGAGCAGTTGCGACAGACACCCGGCTATACTCGAGTGGGCTACTTGCTTTCTGGAGGAAACTGTGGGAAATTTATTAAGAAATACCTTTTAGGTACGCTGATTGTACATTCGTTAGACTGAATGGTCCCAATAATTTGTGAACAAGCTTACAACGTTTAGGAAATAACTTTTCATATTTTAGTTTGTGTCGGCTGCCTTTTTGACTTGAATTTTCCGATAATCAGTCCCTTAAAATAGAAGTGTTTCATACCTTCCCAACAGTATTTTGTACTAAAACCTTAGTTTCCCGCCTGAAATCTGAATTCTAGGGCTGGACTCTTCTGTGCACAACTGCTCTTAAGTTTATTCAATCGACTACAAAAACTTGTTTGTTGCACAATGGGACCCCGAAGCTCTCGTTAGCCTCTTGGCGACCAATTTTGGCTAAGGCGAATCGCTCACGCTCCACGCGCTTTCCCACTTGTTTGCTTTTCACCACAGGTTCGATGGAAATATGAGGATGCTCCTCCTCGATCACCAGAACTCAGCAACCAGTCTGCGCCATCATTGGAACAGCATCGCGCACCTCATTCCCCGATGCCTTCCAATCCGGGGCAGGGTATCATGGGAATTGAGCCGATCGCAACTCGTGAGCGTGGCATGAAAAGGTACCTTTACTTGGTTTGTCAGTTAGTGCGAGCTGAACTAAGCCCCCATCCATTCAGCCAATCGGTTGATTTCTGTGACTCACCAGGCCGACATTTAAAGTCATTCAATGATTTAGTAATGCTGTCGGCCGAAATCGGTCAACACAATATTTTTTCCTTTTAACGCCAAACTCGCTCACTCCAGTTTACGTTAAGCGTGCTTTTGCAGACTAAGATGATACTACATGTGATCCCAATGGGACTCAAAAGAATCTCTTACAGACAGAACTGTCGAAGTGTTTTTTGAAACTGAATAGTAGTGTCACGCCAGGTTGGACTTGTCAGAAACCCAAATCCTTTTGAGTTTTATCGGTCAACCGAACTATTATGCTTGTTCCCGCAATGCATTGTTTACGTCTTCCTACATCAACGGGACATCGTTTTTGCGGAAACTTACCCCCATTTTATCACCTTCAGCCTTCGTGAAAATGAAAACCCTCACTAGTATCTGCCATTTATTCTACATACATCTTGTCTCTTGTGGTTGCACCAGTGAACATCAGTATGCTTGCGCTCAGTGTGATCACAGACTCGAGAGATAACAATAATCGTAATCAACGATAGAGTACGAATAACCGCAGTGAAGAGAAAATCCTATGAGACATTTAAAAACAGATAGGAAAAAGCTCTTGGGCCATAAGGGGAACACTCATTGACAACTTACCTTAATCTTACCCGAGCGGGTCGATATCAGTGTGGCAGGTTCCTTCCTAACTCAGCATTCCGTATCTCGTTGTTAGCGGATGGACACCGACCAACATGTGATAGCACTGGGGATGGCTGAGTACCCCACTCTCAAAGCAAATAAGATAACATGCACCCGAGTCAATCCCCTGTTCGGGCGCAAGAGCTCTCGCTTTGCCCGTTCTCGTTGTCACCGTTTTACAATCAGTGAGCCACACCCCTTTTGGCAGGTAATGGATGGGGATGCTTAGCACATATCCCAGTCACAGTAACCTCAATGAATTTGTGTTCCTTTTGAGGAGAAACGGTTGTATGCCATGTCGTTGGGTCCTAGGTGTTCACAGTGTAGCTGTCAGCTAGGAAAAACTTGACTAGACTTCCAACTATTAGTGCTATGTACGTTGTATATATGGTATTGGAGTTCGTCGTGCAGGATTTTACTTTGCAAGTATAGTAGTTCTCCAAGGAGAGTCCATCACTCATGGAGTCCGGAACCGTGTTTTTAGCCTATCCTTACTCCGTTTAAGGTCTCAGAAGAGAGCTCAAGCACCGCCGTTCCTCGTGGTGGTGTCTTGAAGAACTTGAACTGGAAGAACTGAAAGCATCTTGTACCCAGGACTCAGACAACAAAGAAAGATGGACACTATTGCGTCTCTATTTTGCAATTGATCGATTCCCGTGACAGGAGTGAAACAGATGTATAGTGATTCTCGTTTCCAAGCCACTGGGTGAACTCAGTCGCAGGAAAACTAAAAAATATGGAGCTTAAGCAGCGCCATCGCACCTCAGGCGGCTCAATGGGTTCCAGATATCAGTGCTGAAGCGTGTCTACTCATGAGTAGCTTGGAAAATATCTTGTTCGTCTATCGAAACGCATGGCAGCCCGTATCTTTTAGTTCAAACAACTGCCAACGGGGGGCCGTATTTCTGTAGTCTGTTATACTACAGACCGATCGAGACGCCTTGACTTTATGGCTAAGCCAAATTTATTTTGGCAAGGTGAAATAGCATTCCGCCATTTGATAGTAAGGGGGATGTTGGTAGCTCAGTTTGCCTAGATGGTCGCTGTTTTGTTCGCTGAGCCGAGCAATTTGAATGCAAATGTTCCACCACTAGTTGAGCTGACATCGTCGGTGCGTTTTTTATGGAGCAGACTGGATCGAAGCAGGGCGTCAATGGCAGTGCACAACCGCTGTGCGCGATCCAACGGCCATTTCACCATTTCCTTTTTTTCCCACAGGCACAACTTTTCCAACTTCAATCCCAGGGCCCTGAAACTTTACAACTAGATAGGCGTGGGAAAAATACATCCTACGAAATTCCAACGCTTGAAAACTTATAGTAAAAGCACAAATAAAATATTCACAATGATTCGGACGAAATTGTCTGATCTCCATTCGACTGCTAGCCGAAAAAAGTGACTGATTTCTTGCGAGGACCACATCTGTTTAATGGAAATCGGTTAGAAATTCAAGTGATCTTCATTTTTCATTTTGCCTGTTCCTTACGTGATATGTGCGTATAATCAATAGGGCGTGCTGCCAAAATAGTAACATAGATACAAGTTTAAATCAGCTTTGAATAAGACTGTGCTTCAAAGGTGCGGCCGTATGCTTCCATCGCGAGTTACATTACGGCTGGTGAACAACACAGAAATGTGCTCCATAATTTTGCGTGGACTGTCACCTTTCCTTCAAACTTCGAACAACGAAACTTTACGTGGTCCTGAGGATATTTTCTATCTATTGCGAGAAGTTCTGTGACGGTCTCCCACACATATTTTATAAAGAATGGCAACGAAATCTGCCGGTCCCCATAATCCGAGTCTGCTCAACCTTACCTTCCATGTCCTCTGCATTTGCACGACTCACCTTCAATTCGTTAGTCAGGTTTTGCGTGATTTGATGAGCAGTTTCTGCTTGTTGCGCTTTTTATTACCTATTCGCTAGGCCTGAATAAGCCCTTTGGAGAGAGGTTGATTACATTCCTATGATGTTGATGCTTTTGGAGCTATCTGTCCTTCCATTAAAATAGTATTTTCCATACTTGCACTGTATTTGCAATGCGAATCGATTTGCTGGTCTACACGCCCACATGATAACTTTATTTTCTCAGGTCGTCTGCGGAGCGAAAACCCAAACTTAGAATACTCAACTTGGAAAATTGGCGTGGCAGTACCAAAACTAGGTGACCAACAACATGAGCTAATAATGTGGCCTGAGACGTCACGGTCAGAACACAAAGTACCCTGCTTGTGAGAAATGGCGCGAGATGATAACGCATGTAATTTTGCTCTCACATTTGGTATCATCAATTTACAACGCTGATGAGTGGTCCATTAAGGCCGTAGTGAGCCTACCGCGAACCATTCATTCCTCCCATCAAATAGGAAAATGTTACTCCATTGTCTAGATTATTTTCTTAGGAATTGATATGGAGAAGATTTCTCTCCCATGCCTTTCTAAATCAATCATTTTCGTCTCTCCCCACCTTCGCTGCGTAATCTAGAGGTTTTCTCATTTCCTCACATTATTCAGTCGAACAAATATTATGGACGCTGTCTACGATAAACCGGTACATTGTGTAGACCACGTAAAAAAACTACTTTGCATTTTCCTACCCATCTTAGACCCGCCTCATCAATCAGTTTGATAACCGAGGATAAACTGACTTCCGTACCACCACAAACCGCGACCAAAGATGTCCCAGCGTCACGCGAGCCAGAACCGCCGCGGCGCTATGTCATTTCGTTCAGTGGCCTGCCCAACGATGCACGTGATCACTATGCGCACGTAGTCAGTCAACTAGGTGGTGAGGTGGACAGCCAATTGACCATTAGCGAACACACAACACACCTCATAGTCCATACACCGAGTGAGTCACATTTGAAAACTGCACCTTGTTTAACAAGAGGTTATAACAGTTCTTCATTTTCCCCGTCCATTTCAGAATAAAACACACTTTTCAGCTTCACTATAAAGCTCGAATCGACTATTTTTAGCGCTTTGACAATGCTTATTACTGGCTTTAGGTCAAGTCCGATGTTCTCATCAACTCTTTTATATTAGTGCGCGATATGAAAGTTGAGTTCTTATGTGCCCGAGACTACTCAACCTCAATCGGCTGCTCTCCGTAAAATAAAGTTCTTTTCTGAGGATTTATTCAGTCGAGTAACCTACACAGCAGATCCTCCTCTTTCTAAAGTGAATGTTGTGTATCTGTTCATGACAGTACCTTGTATCATTTGTATGTCACAGTCAGCTTCTCACACACTGCTCCCACAACCTTACCTCATGAACCCCATAGTGTGGTTTATGCTTACTCAATTTTCCACAGCTATTTCCTTTAGAAAGAACCGCATAGTTGTTCTCGACTATAACGTATCCGTCACCGATTTTGTTTCTAACGTCCCCAGATTTCGCCCTTTGACTATCGGTGGTAATCCAGGTGTTTAATCGATATCCAAGTAAGCAATGCCGTTCCTGACATTGGACTGGGATACTCCGCATAATCGGCCGCTTGTCTTCGTATTTATGAAGGTTGTGTTCAGGGTACTGTAGCCGATGGCCCACGACGCGTATGGTGAGCTTCAATGTACGATGACAGTGTTCGCGAACTACTGCATTTGAGGCTCGTTCCGTGATAAGCCTCAAACACCGTCAAAAAATCTAGGTAGCTCCCACAAAGCTTGCTAGACCTCGACGTTATTTGTTAGCAGTGATAAACGCTTGAGCTATATTTCTGTTTGAGACAACTATACTGATATACGCTATTGATATGCGTGATGAAGAAGCTGGCAACCTTTCGTATGATAAATTAATCGGATATAAAACCGGTTTACTTTCACACGTGCGTACTTCACTGTTGTACCTGGACTTATCTGCTTGGATTCTCTCAATGTAACCGTACCAACTCTTCTTTTGTAGCTCGGAGTGAAAAGTATTTGATCTGCCTGGCAACGGGGAAGTGGATCCTTCACAAGTCCTACTTGGATGCCTGCCTTCGTGAATCTCGATGGGTGGACGAATGTAATTTCGAATGGGGTGGTCCGGGTACGGAACCTTTGCTGATGCAGCTCAGTCCAGCCGTGCCAGCTGTCGGCCCCAATGCAAACAATTCCAAAATACATGAACAACGTCAACAAGCAAATCAGATGCGCGAGCTGGCACGAGCCGCCAGGCATTGGCGTCTGGCTGGCGGGAAGGCATTTAAAAACTGGCGTGTCATATTTGGACCGGGATGTGACAAGGAAACTAGTTTTCGACGGGTGATCGAAGCAGGGGCCGGGCAGGTGCTTAATGTTTTTATTCTTTTTTATGAATTGTGCGTCGATTATGGTTCTCAACCTCTAGATAGGCCATTCCCACAAAAGGTCAGCTTTTGTTGGTCTCTTCAAATTACTATTGAATTCTAGGACTATGGGAAGGCTAATCCTTGATTGTTGGTCTGTTCGCAGTTGGATTGCGAATTTTTATCACTACTTGAGGTGACATTATCAGTGCGGAGTTGAGTGGGTCAATTTTTCCTCTTCTACCTGTGCTTATGTAGTTTCTATATAGTATCTAATGACTAAAGTGATTGGTTGCTCCCAAGGTGATTTGCATAATTTGGTTGGTCAGGTTGGACTCTGCGTTGCGTTTTGATCTCATTTCCTTGCATCTGGTTGATTCGTTGGGAGCCCTCAATTAGACAGTTTTGCTCCTCCGTTTTGGTTGGACCCGTTTCCTTCTTGCTTTGTGGTCTGATTTCATTCTACCTGGTTGGTTGATTGAATAGCCTCCTATTTTTAGTAGCTTTATTTTAATCGGACTGGCCCGTTAGTTGTCGTTAGGTTGTTTGACTTCCCATATGGTTCAGTCTCGTAACCATGTAATTGCTTTATTCGTACCGGCTGGCAGACCGGATCGATATCGACGTGTTTATTTATTGACCTTTGCGTGAAGTACCACGCCTCGACATATTCCCGCTCCGTTTGCGTGAGCAAGTATTTGAAAGTTTTCACTTCCCTATCTTCATGAATCGAAACAGATGATGTCCCCTACTGGCAAGCTTGCGTTCGTGTATTCTAGTCGTAAGTTTTCTCTTAGTCTAGCCAAATAGTGTTTGTCGCAGACGTTGCACTACGTCCGACTTCATTACATCTAGTCTTCCTTTTGATTTCGAGAGGGTTCACAGGCTTGAAGGTGGTTGTTATTTCATTTTGTTGCAAATATCTTGCAGTCATTTCCTCGGAGTTTTTGCTATCCGCGAGCGCAACCCTTCTCTGTTCTGTTTGTTTTGGTGAAGTAATCTGGCGTTGAGTTCTCAAGCATCTCCATATGAAGTTCCTTGAATAACCGTTATTTTGGAGTGTCTGATAAAGTATCCGTTCTTCTTTCGTCTTCGACTGTGTTGTGTTGCATTGCGTCTCGATCCGCTTGAATAAGGTTTGAACACAGCTCGTTTGTTACAGTTCGGGTGGTTGCTGAAGTAGTTCAGAATCTGGTCTGTGTGCGTTTCTTTCGTGTATACTTCGGTTCACAGCTGGCCACCTGTTGTCCTTGTGATGAGCACATCTAGCAACGCCAATTTGTTGTTCTCCTCCGTTTCCATTGTGAAGTGGATATCAGAAAGCATGTGGTTCACCATTTGATACGCTTGTGATAGCTCTTATGTATTCCGCAACATCGCCAAGGCTAATTCTTAGCTTGAGTTTCTTATTCAAGCATATTTTGGTCGGAATCCTCATCGGAGAGGACCAAAAAAACACCGATTATTCTGGTCCTACAACCAACTAGGCATTTAAGTTTTCCCAGAATGTGCTTACACAAGTTCTTGGGTAACGAAAACCGAACATTGTGTATTCTCGAGTGGATTGGTTTTCTCATGTGAATTCCTATCTTTGGTATGGACATGGGAATCTTGCCACTGTCTGTATCCGCTTATTCTCGCTCTCTACTTAGTTTTGCTTGAAGCATCGTTTCTCTTCATTGAACTATGAACTGTCAGCATAGTTTTGTTTTGTGAATCATTGAGACGCTAGCCTTTCACAGCAATCCATATGTTCTCAGGCATTTTGCCGCCGCATTGCGGTTCTTGTCGTCTATCGTCCTTATGTACGCTTAACTTAGACTTGGTGTTTTCTCCACTGAATCCAATGCATGGACAAACTACAGTCGATTGCATTTGAAAACAACTTCAAACTGACAGGTCGTGCCTCCCAAGGAGAGCATAGACTGTAAGAAGTTTGAAACGAGTGGTATTTTGCGCAAAATTTCTTCCCATAAAACGGTTTTTCCAGTCACCTATCCTCGTACCTTCCCCAAGTAGCTCAGAGGATGAGTTATTTCACAAGACGAGTGAAACTTCCATCTGAGAAGTTGCCACTCTGGGAGCCAGTCAACACCTGACCACAGTGTGTGGATCCCGTGAATAAAGAGTAAGTGGCGCTATATCCTGACTTAGTGCGAGTTACTTACGATGCCGATCAGCCGTTCATGGTCGAACGGTCAAGGGTTCAAGCTACTAATCTGGAGTCTCGTGAGATGCGCGCTACTAATTATTCTTAAGAAAGGGGAGCCAACTGCACAATGTTTCTAGGCTTTTCGGCATATATTGACCTCATTTACAGAGTGAAATCTCAATTGAAAATACCTGTTTTTGTTGGTTCTGTACTGGACACACCTTTGGTCTATCCATTCAAGTAGTCCCTCAAAAGAGGTATAAATGTATGACGAGCCAGTACCCTGCCGAGCCCAAAGATTTGGGTGTTCGGTTAGTGCCAAGATACACTGGGAGCTCAATTACTGAATACGTGCAAGTTTCTCGAATAGTTTTGGACTGATATTTCAGTCCATAGAGTAAAAATGTGTGCCTCACATTTGGCCAACTGAACGAGTTTCTTGGTAGCTTGGGCTCATCTGGAATCACACTTAGAACGGAAAGATATTTCTCTTGAATCGAGCGAATTTGTTCTGTTTAATTCTTTGACTTTACCGCACTACTCACTTTACTTGTGACTCGTCGCTTCAACACCCATGACCTCTATCTTTGTACGCTGTGTACTCGCGAATACCAAGACTCAACATCAGAAAAACCACTCCAGATGGTGACTGAAATTCAGTCCTACCATGGTGATTTAGGGGCCGGGTCCACTCTCGACAAACAAAACCACGTCCGTTGGGCGACTGGAAAACACCTACGCACCTGAAGAAGGCGCGCTCGATCGATTCATCAGAATCAAGCATTTTAGCTCAGAACTTCTCGCCACGTAACGTGCTTCATAGATACGTGTATAACAATTTTTATCTCATTACATGTGTGTCTAGCTACCGTTATTTTTGCTAATGGGTAGAGCCATGACCTAAGGAGCGGTAAAGTTGTGTGGACCGCTTTTTACAGGTTCCTGTCACTTAACGGAATACTACTCATAGGGTTGCTGAAAACTATAAGCTCAGCAAGGATTTTGTACTTCTTAAGGCCCATCAAATAGGCGCTGTCCCCGGGTTTACGTCAGCCTTGAATCCGAATTGTAAGGGATTTGCGAAACATATTCATTAAGAAACTAATTTGGTTGTAAGGGAAGACTCAACTGAATCCGAGCTGAATTTCTCGTTTATGATGCTCTTCAACTGGGATCTTCTGCTACAATCAAATTACTCTGCAAATGAGTGCATTTCACTTAGGATCTTGTTCTTTGGGGCCGAAGGGTCAAAGATAGATAGTGGCTCAAATCAGAGACTGAAAGTCGGCAATTTCCATACCTTATCGCCCGACATAATGCAGCGATTATTAGACGATTATTTTCTTTTCACCGTATTCAACTAAACGATTGGCTGTCTCTCTCGTTGGGAGGGCAAGGACTGCAGGACAACCAGCGACAAGGTTTAGTGGCTCTAATATGTCCCATGTTTTGTGCCTAAGCTCTCTCCTTAACAGCCGATCTTTGTTAATTTGTTCCTCAAGGGATCTGATTCCAGTCGTTCCACTGTTCTTCGTTTCCACATCCTGATCGTTGCGCTTATGTTTAAAAAAAAACAGTAAACTAAACTGGTAGCAGTAGTGTATGTTTTAGTTTGCCCGGAAGCTGCATTCCTCAGTGCAAATCAGTCGTTGCCTTTCTTCCCCAGTTTGGAACCTCACGATCCGGAGGTGGAAGGTATGGGTTTTTCCGGTTTACACCACATAGAGTGCCCGATCTTTAGAGAGCACTGTGTTTCCTTTTTGTTTTCCGGTGGACGAGGTCTTCATATCATATGCATTCTGCACTTCAGGTTCTTGCGAGTGGTCCTCCATACCCTCCAGCTTCCTCTGTCACTCACTCATTTTACAAGAGTCGATCTTCAACTTCCGTCAACCGCAACCAGTTACCAGCAGAATACGAGTGGCTGCGTATTGACTACCTGTTGGCCTATTTAACTGCGGGAACGGAAGTGTCACGGGAAGGATTCGCTCTTGGAACTCCTTGAACGGAATTGGACAATACATCACGGACGATCTTCGTCTGTGTTCTCCACATTTTTGTGTACATAAATGAGTCTCCCATGGGCAGCTAACTTTTGACTGCTTGTATCCCTCCCATCTTCACGGTGTAACTCTGATACCTCGTGTGACCAAAGATTTTATGAATTCTTAGGATACCAGAGTGAGATGAATAAACGTAATGTTCAGTTTTACCCACTCAATATGAACAAGCTCGTTTCGTTTTTCCCAGAATCATTGTGTATTCGAGGGTTTCTTACAGTTTGGCCCTAGCGATTATCTATTCAGACTACATTGGTATTGCTTACAACCAACCGGCTACTTCTATTCATTTGAAGACTTTAATCAACTAACCGGGGAAACAGAATTTTTCAGAACTCAAGGTAAACCTGGGTTCGAGTGTTCGACAAACATTGAACGAACTAGACCCGCCAAGATCGGACAACAGCTAGTCAGGTAAACAGCTGGCAGAGTGTATGGATGTTTCATTTCACGGTGACGTGTTTGACAAATAGGGGCCCAGAGATATATTGGAATCTATACTCATTTACGCTTGGCTACCTCAGTATTTGTCTCACGAAACTACAGAGCAGTTAAGCATGTTTAGGAATCATTCAAGCCAGAACGAACATCTCTGAATCGGCTGGCTCAAAGTGAGGTGCATTTTACGGACTGATTGCGGAGTATCGCAAAAGCACATTGGGGGTCGAATGGTTACGTCAGGTTTTGCTTCTACAACAGAGCACGGAGATCATCATCGATGTCCCCGAAGTGTTGATCGGCGTTGGTTGGAACGTCAGACTAGCAATGCTGAGGTGCGTCAGGTGGTTTTAGGAAAACGTAATCCTCTGGCGATGAATGCGCTACTCTCACTGCGTAAGTTGCGCTGTTTACCATATGTATTTCACATTACGAAGCACCCTCTGCTTCGCAGAGCTCTTTTTGCCTAGTTTTGTGTCAAGTTGAAGCTACCGAGAGGAGAAAAATATGTGACCTAGCAACGAAGTATGAAGACACCAACCAATAAACTCGGGTTGACAACTGCCGCCTCCCTGGATGGAGACCTCGCGACTCAACATATTAATGGCTCATGGCACTGGTAGACACGGTTCAATCATGCAGTCAGTGGCGCTTCTGTATCAAAGCTGTCACTCAGTTCCTAGCTGCCCGTTTTCCCAGAACAGTACGCATTAGGAACTAACTGATCACGCCATAGTCTCCAATACTTGGCGTTATGTTCCACATCGTCTCATTTTCCGATGGCTGAAACTGTACCAGCTGGAACCAACATACCTTGGTACGCGGTTTATAGCCGATAAATAGCCCTGAAACAGCACGCCGTAAATGAAAAAAAACGCAGGGCATGTCTACAAACTAGAAGTTCATTCAAACTGTTCCTCTGAGCGTTATAACCGATGGTTCCAAGCTCGGGATTGTAAATCTCAAGTCTGTCCTACCTTTATCTGTACGGTTCTTCGACGGTACAACTATGTACCACTGTAAGTAAAGCCGGGGTTACTGATGAGGCCTTTCAACAGGCTTCCTACTGTTGTTAACTGCTGCTAAGCCACTGCATTTTAAAGATCATGTGGCCAGACTCAACTTCAAGCATCCTTTTATCCTATATTTCGGACCTTGGTAAAGCATTCTCAGACTGTAATTGAACTGAATTAGAGCTATTTTTATGCAACTGATGCCAAAAGAGTATGAAGAATTCTTTTAATACATATCGAATGCTAGGTACAATTACAAGTGACTTCCTCTGTTTTTGACTCGGTCGTCAGGTAGCTTAGGTGTGCAAGTGACGTAGTCTTCTCGGCCATTGCACACTGTACTGATAAATAATACCGCTGTTGTAGGTGCCTTTCTAGCTAAGGTAAGTGCGGTTAATCTTACTTATCCGACACCCTGTCTGAGACTGTTAGATTGTTTAGTATTAATAGATAAAACGCGGTGCACGTGCACTATGTGGGGAACAGTAGTTCGAATAGACGTACACTTAGGGAATCTCAGGACGAAACAAGCCCCAGTATTTGTGTCAACAGTGCCCAAGTACTGCAGCTGCCACTGGTCGTCCTGAGTAAAATTATGCCATCAGAGTTCGGGAAGGGAGCAAGGACTTGAAATGATTATTTGGTTAGCCTATCGCATCAAATTTGACAGAGTGGATGAACCACCAACAGAAATTTCGAACGGGTAAAAGCAAGACTTTCGACTAAATGGTATGCAAGTAACAATCAGCATGTTTCCACTAATTCAGGGTCGCTTGTTCCTTCAAGGACCCAGCATTCGAGTTTATCATTGATTTTAGAACAACTATTACAAGATTGGAGACGAGTGAAAAAGGAACTCAATATTTGACGTCTTTGTATTCATCTTCACCGAAATAAAAACATTACTCATAAACTGGTGAATTATTCAAGTCCCGTCATGACCTTGTAGCTAAAGGTCACATGGAGCCACACGACTGAACGTAGAAGGACCCAGAATTTGTCCTGCGTCCAATAGAAACTTCAGTCCAAAGGAAGACGTACATGCAGTTTTCTATGTATGATGCGATTAATTTCGCCCCGTTCACTCCTCATTAGGTCGTCACCACAGCAACTTCAATTAGCTGTTAAGATGACGGCATACAACGAACTACTCAATTGATAACCCTTTATCTGATTAACGGACTCATTCCAAGCACAGGTTCCCACGCTTTGTATCGTGACAATCTTAATGCAACAGCGACATCGATCGTTGGCATACTGGCGCCTGCCTTTGCATCAGTCACTTCCAGAGGCACTTCCTAATGGCACTGCACTCTCCCCGCGCTTGACGTCACCGCCCCTCCCGCATCAATTCGGTCAGGCCCCCTGTGTCAGCCAAACTTAGTGCTCTGTCCAGCGAATGCGTCATCCAAAGCTGAGACGAGGACAGTGGGCCAGTCATATGTGAGCCATCAGAATACGCTATCTGTGTTTTCTGTGACACAGTTCTCCGACTTAAGTGGAGTGGTAAAGCCACCAGATTACCACCACTGAAGGATTCCAACCCTACTGGACTTTTAGTCGAAATGACGAGGCGTTAGTCCTAACTAAACGGTGTGATTTAACTGATATAGTGTTTTTTGTGTGTGAATGGATCCAATTAAACAGCGAATATTGTAGGCATGAGGCTTAAAACACAGCGAATGAGTGTCTGTATGGAACATCTGGTGACTCATCAGTAATGCTAGTTACTCAACCCATTACTAGTGATCAGGAAACTACTCACCGGGAACAGTGAATCCTGCATAAATTACCAATGGTCTGGAACAGGGGTTGTGATAACAACACAATCCGATTAGTCCTGAATATATCGATTTCTTTTTAACATAGGTCCGCGATTTCGGCACTAAGCAAAAATCACCGTAATTTCCCATTACAAACAATTCAAAATCCTCTTGTGGTACTTACGTCTATATGCATACTCAAGGTCGAATGAAAGAATGGATTGATCACACTCTTTACTGTCGTAATGCACATGGCCTTGATTTTCACGCCTGTGGATGGTCCAGTGACGTAACCTACTTGTTTGTGGTTCGATTCTAAACGACCATTTTATTTGCTGACTACTTACATCAGATGCCCTGTACACGCGACACGACCTAAGAGTTCGCCACACAAGGAGCCGGTCAACAGCAGATTACATGGCATGACCTGAGTGTTTGAGGGATGGTGGCGCGATGTCCTGTTATCCTCGGCTATCTTCATTTAGCGTGATCTTTTGGAAGACGAAGAAAGTTGTCTGTGTTCGAATATTCCCTTTTAAGAGACATTTCTATCGGAAAATAGTGAACACTTGGTTTTATCCGTCTTCAACTGTAAAGTGGTGTCCATACGTACACGTCGCACGATTGTGTAGGACCGACAAGCGTGCAAGGAACACATTCAATTCTACGGGGTTGACAGTGGGCTAGTCATAGGCAGAACTAAAATAGAAAGCCCAATCTCAAAAATCTTACGCAACCCTCTTTCGTAAACTCACTGTCACGACACCAACCCACCCACGCAGAACACCAAAAAATTGTCAACAACTTCATGGCGATCTGTGTTCCAAAGGTCACATTTTCATACTCACGTAGAGCCAAAGCAATGTCCCTCCTACTTCCCGCTTTATGGTAATAAATAAATCTACAGAATTCATCACTCGAACTATTACTGGCTGACTCCTATAAGCAAGTTAGCCAAGTTGCTTCTTATTTTCCACATGCTTGCTTAACTTGCCCGATAAAGTGAGGACTGAGCAACATCGTCTGTGGACCGAATTCTGTCATTATCGTCATTTTGCTAGATATTGTTGCACTTATTCCCATCCACTCAAAATACACAAAAGTTAGCCAGGCAAACGGTTGAGCCGGATGGCTTAAATACCCAATGGTGTTCGACGCTTTCTGGATGCCAGCAAATGGCATCACAAGCCATGCAATTGACACAGTTGGAGAACCTACCGGACTCTCCTCAACCTTCCGAAGCGGCTACCATCTGATCCAGACGGTGCTCACCCGAATTATTTCAATCAGGCCTTGCGGCCGTGGGCCCGTTGCATTTGACCGGTCCCATTTGTCGATTCGCGAGATTATAAACGCTGAAAAGACAGTGCACGGATTGCAGGTTTTACCACCACGCTCTTCACTCCGGCACTTGCATTAGGGATCTAAAGAAAGACAGCGACCTTGCATACTGTCTGGATGACTAAAACCGTGGTTGTTTTGACTAGTCGAATCCCCGGGTCCTGAAGAACGGTTAACACATCGCAGCCCAGCCATATAACGGTCTCATTTGCATTGAACGGCGTTTCCTAGCCGGTGCAGTTGCGAAACAACCGATCAACGGTCTCTGGTGGAAAGTGGAGGTCCTATGGAAACCGAAATTTGAGGAAAAATCGACAAGCCTGGGGGACCAAAATTCGGAAATGGAGAAAAACTGAAACATTATCAAAATAGGCAATTTTTGAAACCAAAGGAGTCATGAGTCACCACTATGCTGTGTGCATAGACTAAAAGAAAGTTAAAAATTACATAAGATAAATGTATCTGTCAAATTAAATCGTTAGTCATCTCACGTGCATACCCTTGTTGTTTTGCTCTGAGCACAGAGACGGTCGTTACTAAGCTCAGATTTACCTTTTTAAATCAAAGTAGACCGGACGATTTCCGTTCGCCGCGCGCCGATCGGTAATTTATGCGAACTCTGTGGAGCTGTCCCAGCTTTTTGCCAGCCGGCTGGGCAATGACAGAAAATTGTCAGAGCTTTGTGAGCTG